CCTGCTGTCCACAGCCAATCAGCACGAGATTGCATCCCTGGACAACAAGGTCAGAAAGAGCTTTATCATTAATATGTGAAAGCCATCTGGACAAGAATTATTGAATATCTAGGTGCTGTTTTATTTAACTTAATTTAAACCCTATGCATAACTATTAAGTTCTGGTTGTACATTTGGTGTTCTCTTAACAATCACATTTTCATTTATTCCTTAGATCCATGAAACTATCGAGTCGATCAACCAACTGAAGATCCAAAGAGATTTTATGCTTAGCTTCTCCAGGGACCCCAAGGGCTACATCCAGGACTGGATCTGTTCCCAGAACCGGGACCTTAAGGTGAATCTAAACTATGTGTACAGCTCAAAATCATAGTCATATACAGTATTATTATATCAAACCATTTTGCACACTTAATGTATGTCAAAATAAGGTTTAGACTTTAAACATTTTTGAAACAGTGTCTCTACCTAGTGGTCGAAAGGATGTAACTGCTTTTAGAGAAATTGTCTTTTCTTCCGTTTTGAACTGGACTGGATTTTGTTGTGGTTACAGCTGATGACAGATACAGTAGGAAATCCAGAGGAAGAGAGAAGAGCAGAGTTTTATAACCAGCCCTGGTCTCAGGAAGCTGTCAGCCGCTATTTCTATTGCAAGGTGAGGGGCACATGCAAATGAATCGTGTTAGCGACAAATGTTTGGGGTCAGTAAGAATTATTTGAAAGAAATGCATACTTTTATTCAGCAAGGATGCATTAAACTGGTCAAAAGTGACAATAAAGACATTTATAATGTTGCAAATATTTTATTTTAATTAAATGCTGTTCTTTTGAACTTTCCATTCGTTAAAGAATCCTGAAAATATATCAGTTTCCACAAAAACATTAAGCAGCACAACTGTTTTCAAAATTGATAATAATAGTACTAATAAATAAAGTTTCTTAAGCACTAAATTGGCATATTAGAATGATTTCTGAAGGATCATGTGGAGTAATGATGCTGAAAATTCAGCTTTTTTGCCATCACAGGAATAAATGACATTTTATGCTTTAAAAAACAAAGAATAAAAGGGTTATTTTAAATGGTATTTTTTCATGTTAGAATCAAAAGTGGACATTTCACTTTGTCTTTTCATTTACAAATGTATGCTTCTTTCCTTTTATGTAGATTCAACAACGAAGACAGGAGCTTGAACAAGCTTTGGCAATTCGAAACACCTAAAATATCTCCGTTTCAAGAATAAGTTGACAACTAGTTTGCTTCACCTGTGGCTTGGTCACTTTTATTCTGGTGATATCCACACTGGGCAGTTTTCCATGGACATGAAAGTATTAGACCCCTTCTCAGAATGAGGTTTGGACGGATTTTTTAACCAATGAGGGACAACAAAAGTGTAATTGTACTTTTATTTAATGTATGTTTACTGTACAGTTGAATGTATATAACCTCACAGTACAATGAATTCAAGAAAGTGGCTTGGAAATGCCACTTTCACACTGATAACACACAAATACAGCAGCTATCTTCATTGTTTTTACATCAGTTTTTTGATGCACATGAAGTGCAGATACACTGTGTGTCTTCTCACTTGGAAAGGTAGAAAATACAATGAATAAAACTTTATGTTGCCTGGGAATTTTTTTAACCATTAATGACATGCTAAATGTTAGTATGTAAGTATAGATATTGAATCTGTCATGTTTTCCCTACATGTTCTTTCAACACATTCTGCTTTCAGCTTTCTCCTTTGTTTTTCTGTCTTTAAATTTGCACTGTGTAAAAGATATCATGAAGAAATCCACTGGATGAAAATCAGCCAACTTTATTTGCAATAAGTGACATTTATTGTCATCATTTTAATATGTTAAAGAAAATTAAACATTAATGCTTCAATAAGGTAAATCATTCTGATTTGTGAACACTTGTGTTAACAATACCAATTTTTGTGTATTGTTAAAAACTGCAAAAATTATTGCTCATAAGCAGTGTTTATAAAAGATGTTTGAAAACATCTTCATTTTCAGAGGCTTTAAATGCCAGTAAAACAAAATATGTTCTAAATATATTGTGTGTTGATAAATGCATGTTGCATGTTAATATTTTCATGTTTTTATGAGTTTCTTTTTTAGCATGATTGTGAAATGTTTTGGATCTTTGTTGCCTTATTAAATCACTGATATGCACAGGAAGCATTAACCAAAGGTTAAGTATGGTTACATCATCTTTGTGAATGCCAATAAATGATTTAATTTTACTGAATATTCCATCACACAAGTTGATGGCATTTGTATACCTGTGGCCTCAGATGTGCTTTGATGCACAAGTGTAACAGATGAGAACTAAATCTGGTACTCATGAATGTGAAGAGATGTTCATATTCAGAGGCATTGACCCTTCACCTTTTTACAAGACATTCTTACTGTGTTATGTATTTTATTTAAATAAGTGCAGTGCGTCTGTTATGGACATTTTGAACAAGATTAATAAAATAAATACAAATTCATGAGCATTATCGTCGTTGATCCAGTTCACAAAACCAGTCTGAATTATTAATTCATAAATTGAACTCATTCGCTTTCATTACACACACTGAAAAAGTGTAACTGTTCCAACAAAAACAAAAAAAATCACCTTTTTGCTCGATAGATGAAAAAGTCATGGGGGTTTGCGAAAACATGAGTAAATAGTAATAGACTTGTACTTTTGGTATGATTCCTCTAGGAAAAAATGCACTATAAATTATAAGCATAGCATAATCTTGTAATTATAATTTCTGGATGATTCACATTGTTAGTTGATAGTATTACTCATTTTAGGTCATTGTGGTGTGACTAAACCGTGAAACAAAACACGCCCAGATATTCTTCCCTATGCAAAGAAGAGGGTGGAGAGTTATTATGCATCGGCCTCTGATTGGCTGCCGTGCCGGTTTTGGTGACACGCGCCTCATACCGTCCGCTTGTAGCGCGAGCCATGAGACCGCTTCTCTGGTGCTAGCGCTTCATCAAGAAGAGAGCTAGGTAAGACAACGGCCTAATTCCACTAAAGTTGGTTATTTACTCGTGTTAACGCTCTATCCCTGTGATGATCGATGTCTACAAAAACATACCTCTTTTGCTCATGTAATTTTGTTCTCCGGACATCTTTCGGATTAACTGGCTAGTTTTACCGGGTGTTAGCTCGCCGGCTAGCTCGTGGGAACAGAGACTCGCGTGCGCTCCTCAACTAATCAAACGTGTTTTTTTCGGTTGATTCCACTTTAATTTACTGAAGTTACTTATCTTATCAAAATTTGGATATAAACTGCAGTTGTTCTATGTCCAGGGAGCAAGATTTACTCGTGATCTGGGATACACCGGTGTTTTATGGCTAGAGTTAGCATGGTTGGTGAAGTGGTTCATTGGTCGGGCCTTGGAGTTAACAGACACGCTTTATTCTCTTAAGAGTAGCGGCTTCGATATTTCGCTATATTATCCGTTATTTGTATGTTTTTTTTCAAAACTCAACGCGATATCATAGCTGTAATGTGCAGAGAAGTCTTTGTTGTTCCGGTATCACTTCATCCTTGCAGTTACTCGCCTACACTGCGTCAGGGAAAAGTACTGGCGGACTCCACGTTAGCCGAGCCGAACCACTGACCTCTGGTGCCTGCAGCTCGGTGGATGCTAACACGAGAACTTAAAACAACCCTGTGAACTAAGTATACGTTTTTTTTAGTTTTTTTTTAGGCGAATCGAATTTTGATTGAACAGGTAGTACGTTTGGGAACAGTGTGTTCTTTGTAATGTTTTTTTCCCCCCATAATCCTATGAGAGCATCTTTTCCTCCAACTAATTTTTTGTTGTCTCTCTCCCACAGGTTTCAGAGGTGTTTTGTTCCTGGTATTCACAGTTAAAATGCCATCTGATTTAGCAAAAAAGAAGGCGGCAAAGAAGAAAGAAGCAGCCAAAGCTCGTCAGCGTACAAAGAAACCAGAGGATGGAGTGGATGGTGATGCAGAGAAACCTGAGATCCAGCAGAATGAAGCGGCTGAGGTCAATGGTAAGGCAAACCATTCCAAGGCACTCTTATGGCCTGTTCAGACCAAAACAACAAATATACCATTTGAAAATTTGGTGTCAATCATTTTAATTTGAATGAACGTCTGTTAATGAGTCTGGTCAAGTAGGGCTGGACGATATGGCTTAAATTTATATCACGATATATTTCTTCATTTCGGTCGACACAATATAATTCCGATATCGATATGAACACTTAAAGAAAGCCTCATAAAAACTGCCAAGAACACCCACAACAGATGTCTGTGCGTACAAACTTATGAAAAATTAATTTGCCACGTCTATGAAACCTTCCTATAAAACTATTTAATTTTTTAGAAGAAAACAGCACCTTTCACCTTTTATTTGTATTTAGCCTTCATACAAACAAGAAATGTGAAATCACTGTCAAATAAACATCTCAGACTCACCTTATTAATTATTAATATCTTTAATTTCAAACTATAGGCTAACATACCAGCCAGAAGTTTTTGAACTGTAAGATTTTTAATGTTTTTAAAGAAGTCTCTTCTGCTCACCAAGCCTGAATTGATTTGATCTAAAATACAGCAAAAACAGTAACATTTTGAAATATTTTTGCTATTTAAAATAACGGTTTTCTATTTGGAAATATTTAAAAATGTAATTTATTACTGTGATTTTCACACAGGAAAAAAGCTAAATTTTTAGCATTATGACTCCAGTCACATGATCCTTCAGAAATCATTGTAATATTCTGATTTGCTGCTCAAAAAAACATTTATTATGTTGAAAACAGCATAGAATTTTTTCAGGTTTCTTTGATGAATAGAAAGTTCAGAAGAACAGCATTTATCTGAAATAGAAATCTTTTGTAACAGTATAAATGTCTTTATATAATGTCTTGATCAATTTAAAGTATCCTTGCTAAATAAAAGTATTCATTTCTATAACCCCCCCCAAAAACAAATCACCAAATCAGCATATTCTGAAGGATCACGTGACACTGAAGACTGGAGTAATGATGCTGAAAATTCAGCTTTGATCACAGCAATATAGAAAGCAGTTATTTTAAATAGTAAAAAATATTTCACAATATTACTGCTTTTGCTGTACTTTGGAACAAATAAATGCAGGCTTGGTGAGCAGAAGAAGCAGAAGATAAAAAACAATAAAAAATCTTACTGTTAAAACTGGTAGTTTTAAGACTGGTAGTGTAGGCTGTGTAGGCTGATAGATTGAAACAAATGTGCTTCAGCCAGTATAAAGCGTATGAAAAGTGCTCTGAGTTGCTGCAGAAAACAAAAAAATTAAGCAACAACAAAAACGTTGCTGGAGACGGGCTTATTATTGAAAATGAAAACTGATTCTCTGCCAGCAGGAGGCGCATTGAGAGCAGTAGAACTAGCGGTTTCTCCAGTAACGGCTGTAATCAAAGCAGCTCTGCTCATAAACGCTACTTTATCAGATAAAATGAAAATTCCACCGAAACTTTTCTGAAGACAGTTGGTTCCCTTCAGAGATTCATTCATATAAAAACTTGAATTAGTGAGAATGAGAAAAATATAGCCTATATTGAGGAGGAAAGTCCACTGATGAGTTACCAGCGTAAGCCTGTGTGC